AAGACTACGGATGAAGCTTCTTAAGAAAACAACTTGCTTCCGTCCGGTCACCCAGGCAGTATTACAGTCCACGTACAAAACAAGTAACTTGTGTGGTACATATATATTCGATGTCCCTTTGTGCCAGTTGATCTTATTTTCAATGGCTATTTGTTTCTAATAATGCTGTATGATCTAAGAACTTAATCACTAGATAGCAAACAATCATCAATAAGATATATGTAAAGTAGTCTAATAAGAAGTTTAGGATTAACTAGTACCTTCCAAGAGATTTGGAATCTCACTTAGAAATGTTACCATAGAACAATTTTCATTCAACCTTTCATTCCTATTAGTTCATGGAAATCATATCTGGTTCAGGGTAGGGCAGAACATCTACTCTTTTTGTTCTACCAAATTCTAATCTTCTGAATTCTTCATGTCTCTTTTTTTCTCTTTTCAAATTTATTTCACTGTATTATACTACTTCAATAACATCTTCAAACCCTAATCTTTGACAACGCTTATGCTCTTACTACTTCTACCACTATGGGATTTGAATCGACAACTCCATCTCTGTGCTAATATGGTATGGCAACTCGAACTAATGTACGTACGTACGTACGAAGTTCTACGTTGTGACTGACTGACTGACTCAGGGTTAGTTGCAAAATGTTGAATAGTGACAACGAGAAAAGGAGATTTCAAATTTTATGATAATGACATGATTCTTTTGGGATAATTGCTAACTATCATTTGACTTCACTCTAAGCCCATATTATCAAATGTATGTTTCCTGGAAATCTTTTACTCTATAATTTGTTCATCTTGATTCTGAAAAAAGGAAAGAAAACCAAGTTCATTCTTGTAGATCTTTTAGTGTTTCCAAAGTTTTAACTTTTTAAATCTGTAGGATCCTTCAGAATTCTTTCGAAAAAATGTTAAAAAATAGTTATCGGATTCATCATCGATTACATTGGATCCCATGCTATTCTTATCAACGTCTGAGGAAATCGATAAACAATCATAGTAACCGCTTTCCTTACTATCATATGTTTAGGCACATTGAAACTTCTAAAGAATCCACCAATCGACTCTGAGTTGTTTTTGCTTAAACTTTTTAATGGCCCGAAATTTCCTAGTACGGCTGAGAGTGGGGAGCGTCCGCTCTCCCTCTCGAAACGCTCTCACATGGCCACACGTATATGGACTCTAACAGGGAAGTCCTACTCACTGCCTTCTCTCTGCGAGAGTATTGTTTACGAAAGTGAAAGAATAAAAAGCGAATGTCCGGTAGCGGCTTTAACCGGTTTGATGGACACGGAAAGTTCACCTAGGGGAGTTGGAAAATCCTCATTCCAAACCACTGGTGTACATGTGCTCCGGTATCCTGGGGGAACAAGTGGCTTATGAATCAATCGTTGGTCACCGGATACCATGTGACTGCATCTCCTTACGTTGCTTCACTGTCTTGTGGATCAGATCTTTAGGTGAAAGGCTCCGGGTGTGGCCCCCTAAGAAAACCACCTGCTTCAGTTAGGGCACCTGGGTAGTATCACAGCTCTGACACAAATCAAATGAGTTTGACAAAAACTAAGTTTGACAAAAACTGAAAACCAGGAATCATTGGATTGTTGCTTCGTCCTAGTAAACACTCACAAATTCACCAGGAACCGAACTCAGAACCTTTGGTCACAGATATGAGAACTTAAACATTGGACCACTAAGCAACAACTGAATAGTGTATATGTTTCATTTTATGCAATTCACTATATTATGTGACCATCTTCCATTTCCTACAGTAGATAACTCTCTGACTAGAATTGACTTATGTTATATGTGTACTTCACTGGATTTTGGCTCTGAAATTTATACACCTAACCTGCATTATGCATGAGGTATCAAAAATGAACGTGATAGAAAATGTTTTCATCCTTCCTATGTTAATTTTTCTTGAATGATAAACCATCTTTAACTGATCAAAAGACAGTTACTTTATGTTTTCCTATTTTAAGTTCAAAAAACTCTACTCTATTGATATTGATGAGTGAGTACACTAACATCGAAATGAGAGGATTAAATAGACTATACATCGATCAGTTTTTTTTTTTTTAAAAAATGTCAAGACAGTTCTTCTGTATGGGGCAGAGACGTGGAGAACTACGAAAGCCATTATCCAGAAGATACAAGTGTTTATTAACAGCTGTCTACGCAAGATACTTCGGATCCGATGGCCAGACACTATCAGCAAAAAGTTACTGTGGGAGAGAACAAACCAGATTCCAGCGGAGGAAGAAATCAGGAAGAAGCGCTGGAAGTGGATTGGGCACACTTTGAGGAAATCACCCAATTGTGTCACAAGACAAGCCCTCACATGGAATCCTGAAGGTCGAAGGAGAAGAGGAAGACCAAAGAACACATTACGCCGAGAAATAGAGACAGACATGAGAAGAATGAACAAGAACTGGAAAGAACTAGAAAAGAAGGCCCAGGACAGAGTGGGTTGGAGAAAGCTGGTCGGCGGCCTATGCTCCATTGGGAGTAACAGGCGAAAGTAAGTAAGTAAGTAACATCGATCAGTACTCGGTAACTGAGTTCAAGTGAAGTTCTGGATCAATATTATTTTTCAATTTCCAAAGAAGAAACATATCCGAAATGTACTTAGATACTAATAGTTAAAGTCAATTGTACGGAATTAATTGATTCTTCCTTAAGATAATATGGAAAATTGTTTATAACATTAGAGGATATCCTTCAATCTCTTGGAGTAATTGATCACTCTATCATTGTTTATTTTATTTAAACAAATAAATATTTGGTAAAAAGGGGCACCTGATGCGTCACACAAATCTCATTTGATTTGTATGAGGGCTGTGATACTACTTGAGTGCCCAAACTGAAGCAGGTAGTTTTCTTAGGGGGACACACTCGGAGACTCTGAGCTAAAGGTCTGATCAAGGAGGCAGTGGAGCATCGTAAGGAAATGCAGTCCCAAGGTAGTCGGTGACCAACAAATGATTCATACGCCATTTTTTTCATTCAAGATACTGGATCCCATGTGCACCATTGGTTTTGAATCAGAGTTTCCCGACTCCCCTGGATAGACTTTCCGTGTTCACGAAGCCGGGTTAAAGCGCCGGATATTCGCTTTTCGTCCTCTCAATTTCGTAAACAACACCCAGGTTGACAGAAATGAATGAGTAGGACTTCCCTTGAAGTCAATAAAGAATCATATTCATAATTTACATGACTAATCATAAGGGGGGTATTGTGGAGATTTTAGTAGTTTTATTATTGGAATCATGCGTCAATTGAACCTAGACCACCATGGAAAACCTGGAAGCACTGGATGGCCATTTCGTCATAGTGTAGGACTCCTCAACAGTGCATATCCACGATCCCGCCACCGGGTTGCTCAATTTCGTGGATTGACTCATAATTTCAATTATAAAAATATATAACTAATGTTTCATAAACGACTGTCTAAAATATTTCTTGTTCAAAACGGTTTTAGGTCTTTACATAAATCCATAATATATGTAGCATGTATGTACGAGTGGAATTCTGGTTGTATTTGTCATTCTATTGGGTATTTGTTAGTTAGATATGCTTGAATCCTATTGGTAAAGTCAAATACTATAAATAAATCCAGTGTGGTGTGGGTTACTTAAATCTACATTAGTAGTATATAGTGATGGTCAGGCATAGAATGTATTTTGGAACTCTGGAATGTATCCGGTATATTGGCAGTTGACTGATTGTAAATAGAAAGAAGCATATGTCTTAGTGTGGTATGGGTTACTTATATCCACATAAGTAATATATGGTGATGGTTAGGCATTGACTGTATTTCAATAGAAGATCGATAAGGAAAGAACGGGAACGAAGCACAAATAGTATGAAAATGCATGAACAATAATAATCGAAGACGATGGACTAATATTTGCAGAAGGAACAGTCAAGATTGGGACAATTGATTGATAGTTGGCAAACTAACTGTTTACTGTATGGTTATCAGATTTTAGTGAGAGAGTCTGTAATTTTCGTGTCAAATACATTCAATTATTCCCACCGGTGTTTCCTTCATTACATTAGCTTCCATTAGGTAAACATAATCTATAAAATCTACCATAAACTTATATCTATAGTTAATAATATCATGATATTCATTCAGAATAGAGACTAATCAAATTTACTCCTAAAACTATTGATAACAGTCAACGAATGCAAATCTTTTAAAATAGATACTTTTGGATGCCGTTTCAGTGGTCTACACTTTAAGGGTTCACATTTAAGATCAAAAGTCTTCGGTTCAAGTCCCACATGTGCGCGATCGTGGATACATACCGCTGATTCATCTCAGACTAGGAAGAAATGGTACAACCAGCTTAGATTCACTCATGAATTCAACTATGAAATATCAGAAAGGAGGTGGAGATTGTAGTGACTTCAATAGTTGAATTCATCAGTTGAATAAAGTTAGACCACCATTGAAAACCTTGAGACCCTAGACAGTCATTTCGTCCTAAAACTATTAATAACAATCAACGAATGAAGATCTTTTAAAATAAAATTTTTATCAAAAACGTTAGACACTAACACTGTTGGATTGTGATTCAGTGTCCTACATTTTAAGGGTTTACATGCAAGAACGAAAGTCTTCGGTTCAAGTCCCACATGTGCGCGATCATGAATACACACAGCTGAGTCATCTCAGACTAGGAAGAAATGATACAACCAGCTTAGATTCACTCATGAATTCAACTATGAAATATCAGAAAGGAGGTGGAGATTGTAGTGACTTCAATAGTTGAATTCATCAGTTGAATAAAGTTAGACCACCATTGAAAACTTGGAGAAATTAAACGTACATTTCGTCCTAGTACAATACTCCTCATCAGTGTATATCCACCATCTCGCCCATGGGATTCCTACCCACCCACCCCCACAAACCTTTCAACTAATAAACATACATATTTACAAAAAAAATTTAAAAAAACAAATCAATAATATTGACTTACAAATGATCACCAATTTTGTATTTCAGTAGTATATAACCAAGTCAATATTAATGTTTACTATGATTTGATTGTTGCTATGTATATCGGTTTAGTTAAATGAATAAATGAAAATTTTAAAAAAAAATAAATAAATATGAACTATTGACTATTGAATATAAAACAAGTGATACTACTAATTCATAGTAGATCTTCTTTAGAAAGAAGAACAAAACAAAACACCCCAATTGGTATTGGTTCTAATCAATGGTTCGTAAATTTTTTTATTTATTCTCAAATTGACCAATCATGAAACGAGTTTGGTTGTTACTGTCCTTGTTGTTGTTGTTGTTGGTGGTGGTGGTGGTGGTGGTGGTGGTGGTGTTGTCCTTCCTATGACTTGTATTCTCTTAGAATTTGATAAGTATATGTCTGTCTATGAATGTGTGTATAGTCTATTGGCATTCAATCTATGATTCTCAAGGGATCAGTATATTGGTGTACATGTGTGTGTGAGTGCGTGCGTGCGTGCGTGCGTAAGTCAATGTAAGTGTATCCATGTAATAATGTATGACTAATTTTCATATTTTTTCTATGATATCGAAAAACTAACATTCCATCCCTTTTTTGATGATCAGATCATTATTGAACAATATGCATAACATACATTCCCCATAGTATGTGTAATGTTTCTATCCTAGTGATACATGTAGCGTTAATTACACTACATACATACATACATACAATGATAAACAAAAACTAAGTTTTGATCTTTGATTAAAATCATAGATTAATATGATGATTATGGGGTGTTTTTTGATTGGGTCGATGAATATCTGTAGTTTGACTAACATAGTTAAGGGATTAAATACTTAGTTAACACATACACGTTGGTACAAAGGAGCACCAGATATGTATGTGCCGCACAAATCTCATTTGATTTGTGTGAGGGCTGTGATACTGCCCAGGTGCCCAAACTAAAGTAAGTGGTTTTCTTAGGGGGCCACACCCCGAGCCTTTGACCTGAATGTCTGATCCAGGAGGCAGTGGAGCATCGTAAGGAGAAGGCAGTGAATAGGAGTTTTTTTGGTGGCGGTTGTATACGCGTGGCCATGTGAGAGCATTTCGAGAGAGAGAGAGAGAGAGAGAAAGAGCGGGCCCTCCCCACTCTCAGCTGTACCAGGGCATTTGGGGGCAATAAATGCTATTCACAATTGAATAGTTCACAAGATTAAATGGTTATCGTTACATCATGCAACAATTACATAATTTATCAAATAATATGAAGTAACTTTTGATGGAGTTTTGCTCTCTGAGCTGAATGGTTTAGTCGTGAAGCTTTCATCATCCTTCTGAATGACATCATCAGCACAAAGTTCGGGTAGAAGTGAAATATTTGAATCTCTCTACATGTGGTTCACAGCTTGTCCTGTACACCTCGATGTTGATTGGTTCTTGTTGACTTTAAATCTGTCACTTTATTTCTACCCGAATTTTGTGCTAATGATATCGTTCAGAAGGACGATGAAAGCTCTATGACTAAACCATACAGCTCAGAGAATGAAACTCTATCAAAATCATTCAACTGAGCTACAAATCTTCTCCACCATCTCAATATGAAAGAACTTGTACATATATTGATAACAGTAATTAGTACATTTAAAGTGATCAGTAAGGTGTTTTGTTTATCTTAAAGTTTCATTCGACGACGAATTATATTAACAGTCTTCAGAGAGGATTGATACACTTTGTAAAACATTATCTACCGTTGCCTAATGTTACAATTCTGGAAGTTGAAACTGAATCATTTGGGCTGATGTTAACTTTATAAATACCAATTGAACATTTAGGAGTACTTGAAGGCATGTTTCGCACCACCTGTCACTATGCATTGAGTAACTAAGATTAGTAAATATTACAGATAATCAGATCAGAATTCGACATCAACATGTGAAATCATTGACTGTTTGTCTAAACATTACTGACAGATGAAAGTTTCTGGCTGATGACCCGGGGTGAAAATGTTTTAAAATCAATCATAATGGATCAATCGTACTTATTGGTTCCTTAATCTTAATATATTTCTAAATTTTAAATAGTTTAGAAATTAAAGATCATTCGACTAGGTAGCTAAGTGGATAACGCGATAGCGTTTGAAGCGAATGGTACTTGGTTCGGGTCCTAGAGTGAACATTAGCTCTGAGATGCAGGTACATACAGCTGACAAGTCCCAAATAGATTTTAATGCCCGCAATCACCCATCTTTGCTTAAATATCATTCGTTTCGGCTTATTATAACTCAAAAAGATACAACGTTGAGACTAAAGAAAACTTGGGAATAGGTGTCAAAATAACTATCATTTCCGAGATTCTGTATGAAAGTTTTACATTAGTTATAATCGGGAAATTTATCATATGATTTACAATGGTTAAAGTAACGGAGTCTCTGTGTAAACTGTCTAGTCCTGGGTTCGGTTCCTGAGATTCATGTCAATCAATGTCGAAAGAATTGACTTCAACTTTAATTATTCAAGCTTCTTTATGGGTTGTACTCATTGCGAGTTAGATTTAAAACTAGAGAGTAATGGATAGGTTTTTTATCCCTTGCATTGATTGAACCCAGTAGACTGAGGTCTCACGGTGAATGATTACAAGAATTATTCAGTCAGCCTACAACAATAAAACGTCCACTTTATTCAATTCGCTATCTAGTACGCCAATCATCTTATGCTGCTGCTGATAACTGTTTCACTCTCAACATGCCTAAACTCCATTAACCAACACTGTTCATTAGAACTCCAAGACTATTCTAAAGTAAGCCACTACTAAATAAACTACTGCACATCATGGATCAATTGAAGTTAGACGTTGACACTGTTGAATGCCACTTCAGTAGTCTAGAGGTTGAACTTTCACACACAAAACTAAAGGTCTTTAATTATAGTCCCGAGTGTGGGATCGTGGATGCTCACTACTTAAAAGTCCCGTAGTATAATGAAACAGCCTACCTATGCTTTCAAGCTTTCAATGAGTACTTAACATTATTCGATTCATGAATTCAACTATTGGAAATATTTTCATCTGGAAATTGATTTGATTTGTTGTATTTTTAATAATTGAAATCATGAGTCAATTGAAGCTCGATCACCATGGGAAACCTAGAAGCACTGAATGGCCGTTTCATCCTATTACGGGACTCCTCAGTGGCAGTGCACATCCACGTTCCTGCCTCGCGAGCGAGATTCAAACTCAGGACCTACCAGTCTCGAGCCAGAGCACTTAACCGATACTCATTATACTCATTAAATATTGATTTAAACTTCCCTAGTTATTAGTTAATTGTTTGCTTTTTTATTCTGTTGAAAACCCAAATGAATCAACAATAATCATGTTTATTTATGTAAGATTAATTAACAAAATCAGAAGGATTCTATATCAATGAAGTTGTTTACAAGAATTTTTCAACAATCACAAAGTAAACAGAACAATATTGTTTACTATATGACGTTCTATAGAAAACATAGAAAAGGTAGATAGATAAATCTGTGTAAGGCATTGTACAAGTACAAAGGAAAGACTACTCAAAATGACCTTATTAATTATTGTTATTATAAGCAAAGATGAATATTGGATAGAAGTGGAATCTAATTTGAAGCGCGTTTCGGCCTATTTGGGACTCGTCAGCTGGATGTACCTGCATCTCAGTGTTAATGTTCACTCTGGGAGGAACTCGAACCCAGTACCATTCGTTTTAAACGACATCGCGTTATCCACTCGGTCACTGTGTCCTGATGGCCCCTTGCTTGTGGAATGGAGTGAAGTTGAAATTTATATAGTTGAAATCATGAGTTAATTGTAGCTAGATCACCATGGAAAACCTAGAAGCACTAGATGGCCGTTTCGTTCTAATATGAGACTTGAACTGCTGAAGAGTCTCAAAATATAAAGAAACGACCGTCCAGTACTTCCAGATTTTTCTTTGTGGTTGAGCTTCAATTGATTCATGATTTCAACTATATAAATAATAAAATCTCCAAAAAATTCTCTTCTGTTAAATGATTTATTTATTTGAACACATAAATATTGGTACAAAGGTGGCACCAGATATATATATATGCGCCACAAAAAATTGTCATTTCATTTAATTGTGTGAGGGCTATGTTACTGCATGGGTGTCCAGATAGAAGCAGGTGGTTTTCTTAGGAGACCACAGCACGAGCCTTCGACCTAAAGGTCTGATCCACAAGGCAGTGTAACATCGTGAGGAGATGCAGTCCTATAGTACCCGGTGACCAATGATTGGTTCATACGCCATTTGTTACCTAAGGATACTGGAGTTCATATGCACCAATGGTTTGGAATCAAGGTTTTTCAGTTCCCCGGTTAAATCGCCGGACATTCACTTTTCATCCTCTCAATTTTGTAAACAACACCCGTGATCTGAGAAGGCAATGAGTAGGACTTCCCTGACAGAGGCTATATACTCGTGTCCATATGAGAGCATTTCAACAGAGAATGAGTAGGCTCTCCCCACTCTCAGCCGTATCAAATCGATTCGGTGTTAAATAGAATCACTGTCCAATATTATATAAATAATTCAACAGTTCTCTCTTTCGTGTCATCAAATTGTAACAGTCATCTACAATTCATAGAAAACAAACAAACAAACAAACATAGACTAGAATTATTCCCCCCCCCCGCGAAACTTATTTATGATTCAGTGTTCATACACAATTATTCATTTTTGTTCAATTACTTTCTTTATAATTTAATGATGTCATTTAATTCGTTGTTTGGTTGGGTTTTTTTTTGTTTGATCTTCTTTTTGTTGTTGATAGAATTGAATTTTTTTTTAAATTTTGGCGCTACATTTTTTTATTGTTTACTTTTTGTTTTATGTTTAAGACATGAGGTCAGCTGATGGTATCCGTTTCGTTTGTTTTTCACCTTTTTTTTCACAGAAAATAAATGCATAATTGTTTTTTTCTTTTCTTCACATTTATCATTATGATATGTAAATCAATTTATTTGTTTATAAATGGTTTTACGGTGTGTACTACTTATATCAACAGATATAAGTAGTATCTAACACATTCATTGAAATTGGAAATGGGAAGATCATAAACAAACAATATTAAGTAAATTTCAACTTCACCTCATTGCACAAGCAAGTGGCTATCAGGAATCAGTAGTTGAGTGGATAACGTGATAGTGTTTGAAGCGAAAGGTACTGGGTTCGAGTTCCTCCCAGAGTAAACATCAACTCTGAGATGCACTTACATTCAGCTGACGAGGCCGAAATAGGACTAAACGCTCGGCAAACTGGATTTCACTGCTAGCAATTATCCATCTCTGTTTA